GAGGAGGGAGAGGGAAGAGAGAGGAGGAGGGAGAGGGAAAGAGAGAGGAGGAGGGAGAGGGAAGAGAGATGAGGAGGGAGAGGGAAGAGAGAGGAAGAGGGAGAGGGAAGAGAGGAAGAGGGAGAGGGAAGAGAGGAAGAGGGAGAGGGAAGAGAGGGAAAGAGGGAGAGGGAAGAGAGAGGAGGAGGGAGAGGGAAAGAGGGAGAGGGAGAGAGAGATGGGAGGAGAGAGAGAGAGAGAGAGATGGGAGGAGAGAGAGAGAGAGAGAGAGAGAGAGAAGGGAGGAGAGAGGGAGAGAGAGAGAGAGGGTGGGAGAGAGGGAGAGAGAGAGAGGGTAGGAGAGAGAGGGAGAGAGAGAGAGAGGGAGAGAGAGAGAGAGAGAGGGAGAGAGAGAGAGAGAGAGAGAGAGAGGGAGAGAGAGAGAGGGGGGGAGAGGGGGGGAGGAGAGAGGGAGAGAGAGAGAGAGAGAGAGAGGGGAGGGAGAAGGAGGGGGATATGGATATAGGTGTGCATACATGTCAGTCTCTACATATTTGTGTCTATGCATACCTTTGCTCATGTCCCTATGTTGGTATGTGTCTGTATACACACATGTTTTTGCATATATGTATATATGAATGGGGTAAATTTTGGCTGTTTTTTTTTTCCTGAGTGTGAGCATGTGTGTATGTATGTCTTGTGCCTAACCTCTGACCTTCCTTGACTCACTAGGGTGTGACTTGCTTGTCAAGAAACTGCAGAGGAAGGATCTCTTACTTTTTATTTCTCTTCATGCTGAGGCAAAGTTTGTGCTACCTTGAAACATTTTTGTCATTTTGACTAATTTTTTTCCTTCCATACTTGAATTATTGGTGCTGGCTACTTGCACTGGCCACTGTGTTTTTGTATATAAATTTTATTCACACATAGATGGTTTCACAAATGTGGATTTATTTACTAGGCCCACCTGACCTCACCTGTTTGCCCCATTCTTTAAAATATTTGGAAAGAAACAGACAAACATATTTGTGTTCCTTGTGTAATAGTTACCTATTATTACCAGTACTATTATTTTTACATTAACCTGTTGAATCCAGGTGCATTATTGCCTGCTCATAGACCAAGATCATGGGCATCAGGCTTGAGTAGAGAGACTTCCAGATATGTAGGTTGTAACCCTGGGCCCACAATGACACTCCTGTGTAGTATCAGGACTCCTTGCCTCCCCTTTGTAGTGTTGTTTATTTATCTATATAATTTTTTTTTTTTTTTTGCTCTTTTCCTATTTTCCTAGGTCTCTATTTGTCCTTTATTCTGTGTGAAGATTGTATTAGACTGTGTTTGTTGAGCAGACTCACTATTATTTATCTAGTCTACAACTCTATGCAGTAATTATAACAATAAGTAACACAGTTTTTTGTCATTTTAAAGATATTTTCATATATTTGATTTTTGTAATACACCTGTACCTTCAGTTACAGTGTCCTCCCTTGAGCTGGTTCTCATCTAGGCATGGTTCATTCCACCCTCATTTTCCAGTGGAAAGAGACCTTTTCTAAATGCCCTTCAAGAGCTCTGTGCCATCAGCATGAGTCATTCCGGTTACCCTGGCCCTCAGCTGGGTTTTTCATGATGGCTTATTCCCCTCACCGAGGCCCTCTGCCAGATTTTTCCACGATGGCATATTCATGTCCCCCGGCGCTCAAACAAATTTTTTTCATGACAAAGCTCACCTCACCTGGATCCAAATGGGTTAGCATGATGAGCATGGAGGACATTTAAACAAAGCACATCCACTGATGATCAGTGTACTCCCAGGTCCAGTAGGTTAAGAATAAAAATGTTTTTTTTAGAGTGAATAGGTGCAGTATGGGAGGTAGAGCAATTAACTGCATTATAAATCTTCATTTGAGGTTGGGATATGAGCTTGTTCTATTTTATTTTATTTTTTCATATCCAGGGAATTATGAGGGGGGAAGAAAATTATTTGTGGATGTTAAAACTGTCATACATGTTTTACAGAAAAAGTCTACACATTTTAAGGCAGTTTCATTGCCTAAACTAGTCTGAAATCTAAGAGATTTTTAAATTTTATCTTTTTTGAAGAATTACTTAATAATAAGTTTACTACTTTTTATGATTATTTTACAACTTTCCTTTTGGTTTTGAGCTAGTAATTGCACATTTGACTGTTTTATTACCATGCAAATGATTGTTTAATGATATTTTTTTTTCCAAATGAAATTCTGTATGATTTTTTAAAATGGTAATCAGAGACTTGGTCATTTAACTTAGAGAAACCCCAAAGCTAGAGTCTACACTTAATATCCCAACTACATTCCTATTTACGAGAAATTGATATGTTCATGTAATGATTGCTTTACAAGTTGTGGATAGTAATAGGATTGGATAATTCTGTCACTAGTTTCATCTCTGTCATTTATTGTCATACATGTTACGATTATTATTCTGTGAGGATTCTTTTTAGCCATGTTCTTCAGTGGTACCCTTTGTCTTTCAG